TTTCTTTTTTTTTTTTTTTAGAACCGTCTATCTATTGCATCTGAAAATAGAATTCGACGATGATGGGGATGAAGCAAATCCAAGCTTTACCATATGGAAGAAAACTAAATTCTCACATTTCAATTCAACGTTTAAACTCTCGCGAAGCATATATGTTATTTATATAACATTTCAAAGAAAAAAAAAAAACGTAAGAAACAAATTTTTTCTCCTAAAAACCATAAAAATATTTTGTGCAACAATAATAATTTTTATCAAAATTTTTCTAAAAATATTTTGCACAAAGTATATTAGACAAACATTTTTTTTTTTTCGAATAAACTAAAATGAAATTTTTGAAATTAATATAACATCGAAATTTATTTTGTTCGAAAATGATTATCATGTGTTTCAAGTTATATAAGCCATTGAATTGGCTAATTGAAATTGAATAAAAGTTGAAGTATGAAGAAATCTTCAGTGTTTTTTTTACAAATTTATAATACGTGCATCGATATAGCATGAGCAAGGTGAATAAAACGGAAAAAATGATTAGAATTACACCTAAAGTTCATGCACGCCAAGCCGTGAACGAGTATACTCTAAAAAAGATCACATGATACATTTCCGGCTTGCTACTTCCGCTATTCACGGAGTAGCATGTGTAACCACTTTAAAACCACGATAATCGGTGGACCTCTTTTCGTTTTTAATAATTTCAAAAAAGTAGCTAATAATTTTTAAAAAAAAAATAAGGTTATTTAACGACGAAGGAATTGCTAAATTTTTTATTTCAAAAAACGAAATATAATCTTTAAAAAATGCAAGAAAATATGAAAGTTAAAATTTTTCACAGTAAAACTTAACATATTGAATTTGTAATATGTAATTTAAAAAATGCGAGTATTTTTGCTGTGAAATGAATTGAGGAAATTTCAAAGTTTTTTTTAATATTTTATTATAATTTTCCTGACTATCTTGGCAGAAATCTCAATACCATTGGTTTATTTATGACTTCAACATTACAACTACAGAAAAGTCTAAGTCATAAGCTAGCCCCATCATGGGTGAAAAAATTTCAAGAAAGATCGATTTGTCCTGAACAAGTTTATATTTTTCAATGACTTGATTGGACACTCTTCACAGATGCATCTTCGATTTAATCTTTTTCAGACTGAAAATAGATTAGACAGGAAAGATATTTAAGATTTTATGTATTAAACTGGAGAAAAAAGTATCGATAAAGATAATTACAGTGTAAATACAGTGAGATAAAAATTGAATATTTCATTATAATTCCGAAATTGGAAAGAGCAAACGAATTTAAATTTGAAATCTATTCGTGTTGAATTTCATAAAAGAGAAGATTTAATGTGATATAAATTAATAATCGTTCACAGCAACATTGTACTTTTCTCGTGTTTGAAAGAATGTTTATTACACCGTGAAAGGCCGCTTGGTGACATTCGAGCCTCGTTCACGTGTATTATACTTGTTCCGATCTCTGATTTCGTTAATCAACAAGCGTTGCGTCTCTGTTATTCAAGATGGAAACAAAAAAATTGCGAAGTCGTTATTAAATATTCGAGTTAATAAAAAGGATTTTTTTTTTCGTTAAAAATATTGCAAAAGTAAGTGCCTATAATCTAACGCGATTAAAAAGAACGAAAGAGAAATTTTTATATAACAACCCCATTTTATAAGAATATTTTCCTTGTTATATAATATGATATAACGATATATAGATTCCAAGAATAGTTATTGAACAGAAGTTTCGAGGAATAACTTCAAACAATCTGTAATCATCTTCCATTTCTAAAGATTCAATTTAAAATATTCCTACAAATAAATATTTTCGAATCTTTTATAAAATTATTGAGAAAGAGCAATGATCTATACATTAAGCAATGATCTATACATTAATAATAATGTCATACAATATATAATAAAAATAATAATGAAAAATAATAATAAAGTTCACTGTAAGTTTTTTTAATCACTTTTTGAAAAAATAAACTAAAAGTGAACATTGTTATGGCATTATTTATTATCTTCTTCATTCTGCAATATTATTTTTCTAATAAAAAATAATAATAGCAAAATTGTAAAATGATAATAAGAGATAAGAACAATTATTCTTCAAGATAATTTTATTTTTTTTTAGGTATTAACAAGGTATATTTATTCATAAACGTTATCTATGTTATTTATGAGAAACAAGAAAGCAGATCAATCTTCGTGAAATAAATTAAGAATGCAAGATTTATGAGCCAAGGAAAGTGATCATGTACTCACGATGGCCGCTTCGATGGAGTACGATCATCCTGCTGTGCCTAAGGGAATTCCTCGTGGGCGTGTGACGGCCAGCAATTTGAGACGCCGCCAGATTAACGGGAACCGTGGTTGACAAACAATTGGCCATTGATGGGGCCCGACCTAACTCCTTCTCCTTCTCAAGTCGACAAATTTTCCCTATGTTCCCTGTTGACACTGCACCTGTCGTGACAAATCGACAAATCGTTTCAAAATCGAAGGTAAATCTTTCAAATGGAATTTGAAAAAAAAAAAAAATTTTTTAAATTACATACTAGAAATTTGAGATGTGTATTTTAGATATCGACTGATTAATGTTATTATTTCGAATTGAAATGAAATTAAAAAAATTTTTTAAAGTTTCACTTTAGCTTTGCATTCGTTATCAAGATGGTACGTATGACTGACTAGAAAGCGCACAAAATTTCCAATGCTGCTTTGTTTTACCGTGATGGTGCACGAACAAAATGAAATTCGAGAAAGTTTACTTGAATATCTCTAACACTAAAGTGTCGACCGAATTTCACTCGTGACCGTTCTATTTACAGTCGAATAAACTTTCCTAGGACAGTGCGCTATCCAATTTTGTCTAGCAGTAGATACTGATTAATACTAATTGACTTAATTAATAATATAAAATGAAAGAAAAAATAAAAATAAATATACTATATTTCTATATTTTTATTTCTTTTTATATATGTATATTTCGTATAATTTTCTTTCATTCTGTTATATTATAAATTAATAATTAGTAATTATTTTCATAAAAAAATTGATTTATTGATTAATTGATTAATTCACCTGTGACTTTGGGATTTTGGATCTTTGTCACGTTACCAGCACTCACTGCACTATTCACACGATTATTGTTATTGTTATTGGTTGTGGCCATCGACGAATTAATACCATTATCGCGAATTTGATTTAAATTATCAGCACTTAGTGCGGAAGTCACGCAAGGTGTCACCATTGGCACGTCCTAAACAATGAAAAAAATATAGAAATTATATTTTATTATATATATAAAATTATATATATAATAATTAATTTAATTTTAACGATATAAATAGTTTAATAACAATAATAATATATATAACTTTCGTGTTAAAAATGTATTATTAAATTCATGAAATTATTATTTTAAGATGAATTGATTTTAAAGTTCAATTTAAATGTTTTATCGATTAATTGTGACGACGAATTTTGTATTTCTACTCCATTTCATGTAAAATTCCAATATAATTACGACATTATCGATTATGCACATTCAGTAATAACGAACCATCAATGACCAACCGCACCTCTTATACACGTGTTACTAATTCTCACACATCGTGCGTTGCGGTTTGTCTCACTCTCGTTTTTCGCTTAACTAAATTCGTGGTCAGACTACCGATAAACCGTTACAACAAGCCTTGACAAGAATTAATTACTTAATTGATAAATAATGATTCACATTCACACATAGTATGAAAATAAGAATATTAAACAAGTATCTTTGTATATAATTTAACGAAAATTTTCAAAAATTCGTTGAAGAAATATCGTTGATTAAAAATGAATTACGAATTAGTATAAAAATTTTAATTTAAATATCCTTTTATGTGATCATACCTAATACGTATATTATCGTTCTTGTATATGTAATGAATTTCTAACTGATAAGATACGAACGTAAACAATGACACGTGACACAGCACGATGGTTCACCTTAAAGTTATCATAAAAGCTAACAGGACGGCTTCTTGGCGCGTACTGAATCTCCTCGTCAGGCTGCATTATGTTACCACCGTATATCGTCGTGTCTAAGGGCTGCGCGCGCATCTCGTCAGACATCCTGCGCTTCCTTTTCTTAGAACTTTCGATAGCTCTGAAATCATAAAAAAATATAAAGATTTTTTTATATTTTAAAAATATAAAGAATATCTTTATATTTTTTACATCAGGTGCAAATTTATCAATTAATTCATCATCAGGACATTAAAAAATTATAATTTAAAATGAATTTAAATTACTTTCACTAAAAAAAATACATAGGAATATTTATAATCTTGAAGTGAACAAAATATTTCAACATTTATACCTAAACGTTTTTGTCAACTCGTAACAAAACTTTTCCTCATGACGAGAAAAAAATTATATGTATTACTTCGATCTTCAAAATCATTAATCTTCAACTTCTTGGAAAAACACGTGCGTCCTTATTCGATTGTTATATGAATCACAACGGTTAATCCGTTCTGTGTGATAAATCAAACAGAAACTTCTCTTAATCTCCTTTGATGCGACATAAGTCACGCATCAAATTCTTCTTCCACATAAGTGAAGGAAAACTGGCAGAGAATCGTTCACGATCAGCGTTCCTCGATTTCTCTGATCGCTTCTATCCACGTGACCAGTCACGTGCGCCTGCTATCCATCACCCCGTAAACGTCTGAAAAATGGAGAGAAATCGTCAACATGGGAATAACTGTATCCTTTTCCAATTCAATCGATTTGTATCAATTATTTGAGAAAAGCATTGCACGTTTAATTTTTAATGTATCGTATTCGTTTATTTGAACATCATTAAAATTGATTAAGCTTTGAAAATATAATGAAGGGAATTTAACTCGAAAATAAATAAAATAAAATCACGGATTTTGAAATAATTTTATTAAATTCTAATTAATTAATCGTAGATACTTGGTTAATTGTTACGAATATTTTAACAAAACTAGTACTTAAACTTAAATTAAACTTGTAATGTAATAATTATTATAAATATTTTTAAAAAAATATGTACAGCGCAATAGATATATTTTATTTAAAAACATTATTTCTCACATTTAAGTTTAACGAAATCAGATAACTTTGTAAGAATCATGAATCACTAGAAATTACAATATAATGAAACGTCACGCCTCGTTGCGCGGGAAATATTTTCTTGGAAGAAACTACATAAATATACGCTCCCTTTATAGATAGTCCCTTCAAACTCGTTTAAAAAAAAAAAGGTCACTTTTTCCCATGGGAACTACGAATATCGTTCATCGTTGATTTTATAACCTCGTGAAGTTCAAACAAGAAGTTCACTCAATTAAATTCTCGTCCCATATATTCCACATATCATAACCTATTAAATTGCGTTTCCTAATATACATGAGACATCAAATTAAGATGTTATAAATTATTATTTTAAATATTTAAGTAAATATTCTAATTATGTACTTTAAGATTTATATAATAATTTAAAATTAACTTGTTATTTTCTGACAATTACATTACGTCAAATTTTTCTTCGTGAAAGCAATACATAATTCGGTTTTTCTTCGTCTCTTCTTCGTATTCGCCGCCTCTGTGAGTGGGGCTTTACTTTCACGATACTAGATCCAAAGTTAATACCGACTGGCGTTGCGCAACATGGTACGCAACGCAATAAAACCGTGGCGCGTTGAGACTCTGTACAATGATGTGACCTACCTATACCGGGGTTGGTGTTCGGGTTACGGCTGGAAATAAGTCATTTCTCCATTAAGCCCCTTTATGCGGCGCTCACAGCCACGTCACCGTGACTACAAGTTTATTGAATTCAAGAAGATTTACCTAAAAAAATTTCATTATTATCATACTTAATTACGTGATTATTATTTCTTCGATCTAATTGTATATACGCATAAATGCATATACGTTAATTTAAAATATGTAGAAATATATATATTAACGTTTCGTAACGTTAAAATTGCATGAATTTACAGAATAGATTTGCATTTAATTCTATATGTAATATCACGTATTCCAGAAGTTTCTGCAATGCTTAATAACATGAAACATTTTCTTTTTTCGAACGTCTTGAGAGAAATAATTGTGAATAATTGATATGCCGCAATAATTAACTAACCTCAAAACAATTCATTACCTTTGTAATGGGGCTAAACTAAAACGGAACCACTATCGCTTATTTCCAGTTATTTCCTGCATGTTTTATCCGATTAGATAATAATAGTATTTTTAATTATAATCGTGTAATCATAAAATTCGTAAGTTTTTTTTCAATATGTTTTTAATCATTAAGCGTGTTTAATTATAGGAAATGAGATAAATCTATCACATTCTATTTGTATGTTACGTGATGCTATAGGTATGACTACCAAAATACATATAGTGTTGCCAACTATGAGGAGTATAGAAAATTCATACAATTACGTAATTGCTTACCACAGAAAAATTGATAATATATTTGTAAGATATTTATTTAGTTGTCACTTAAAATATTTTTTTTAAATAAAATTGCTTATATTACATCTATTATTCAACTCAGTATAAGAAAAAAAAAAAAAAAGGAAAAGAGAACAATAAAATTATTTATATATCGAGAAAAAGTTGACTTGATTCGTTCACGTCAAAATGATACCAACTGAAACAAAATATTTTTTGGAACGGTAAATATTGCACGAAATTTATTTAGATAGTAATAGTCGTGCTTTAATTAATTACAATTATCAAAAAACATTTTTCTATATGATCTTATATTATTTCGAATTTATTGTTACATAAACACGTTTGCACATGCTCCAATGAGAAACACGTTCGATTCAGAAAATGAACTGAAATATTCGTGAATCACGATCATATGAGATGTTATATCGAACAAGTAGGACAAGTTAATCTCTGCAATGTAGATCCTGTTATACCAAATAGACGTTGTAATATAACTAATTGATTTGAAGCTTTAAAAATTAAACTTTTAACTTTAAAAGTAAAGCATTTCCGAGCAAAATGTATCAAATAATGCTATAAATATCAGTAGAATATCAGAATTTGCGGAAAAGAAATTTAAAATTAGACGATGTACTAATTAATTCAAAGAATTCTTAAAGAATATAATTAAGATTATATCGAACATTTTAGCGCTCGTAAAAATTCAAAAATTTATCGTACATAATAATTAATACGCCTACAGTATTTCACGATTAAAATATATAAATCGTAAAATATATATTACCTTAATC